GATTAGCGCATATGCTACGACACCTTGAGCTTTGGTCCTAATGTTAACAATGTGATTTCTAGGGTAATTCAGGGAAGTTAAAATTGTGTTTATTAGCTTAAACGTGCGCAAATCAAGCAGCAACAACCTCTAACAGCACCACTATTTTCTTTTTCAAAATTAATTATTAATTAATTAATTTAATAATTTGTGGGAGTAGATTACATACAAAGTCAATGCAAAGACACGAATTTGCACCGCGCAATGCAAACGACGTGAATTGGGCGACGTGTCTGCAGCGAATGCGCAATATTTGCCTCATTCGCGTCTTCCGTGGAAGTTGAAAAATTCAGCGAGCGGAAAATTCACATGATGCCTTGTCGCGCAAGCCAATCGGCGAAGAGCTTATTGACAACATCCAGTTTGACGCTTCCGGTTGTATCAAAAAAATTATTTTTATTGTTCAGCGAGCGGAAAATTCACATGATGCCTTGTCGCGCAAGCCAATCGGCGAAGAGCTTATTGACACGTCCAGTTTGACGCGTCCGGTTGTATCAAAAAAATTTTTTTTATTGTTTTTGTTTTTAATCGCACAAATGACATGAAAAACATCCGACGAGTAATCCAGAGCGAGTAACACAATGCAAACATTTGCTTCGCTTTTGGTGTGAACACACAACAAACAACAACAATAATAATAATAATAAATAATTACTATTTTATTAATTATATTAAAAATAACAACATACATTTAATTATGACTAAAATTGAATTACAAATATTTGAATATTTTACATTATTTATAATAATAACAAAATTACATTTATAACAATAAATTATTTATTACTCTTATTTAAAATAATATTTATTTATCAATTACATTATATCATTATTTTATACTATTTCACTTTATTATTAATACTACCACCACTAATTTATTTTATAAATTAAATGATATAAATTGTAATAAGTTATTTTAATAATAAAAATCAACAATTAATTTCTATTTTATTTAATAACTTAAATTTTATTAGTAACATTATTTATTAATTATATAAATACGTTATTTAAAATAATAATAAACAACAACAATAGTAAAAAAAATGCATTAATAATAATAAAACAATTTTACTGTTATGAGTTTTACTAATAATGTTGATTGTTTTCCTATTAAATTATATAAATTACATAAATCAATAAATAATTATTGTACATTTTATCATGTACTACTTCTACTAATAATAATACATTTAATTAATCATGTCAATCAGTAACAAAACCTAATTATTTGTAATTATTTGAGTAATAAAAAGGATAGAGAAAAAAATAACATGCGGCAAGAGTTTTATCGCCCACCAAGCAAAACGCAACTGACCAAATCTGTTTGTTAGCTTAAAAGGAAAGCATGTGCAACAAATAGCAATCGCCGTTATTGTCGCTTTGAATACTTTATCAAACCAAACAGCCGACTACATGTATTTTTACCTTTTTACTTCTCACATGATATATATAATAGTGTGAGCGAGGCGAGATGACAGGACTGTTTTAGTGCAGGTGCTGGAGAAGAGAAACGTGTAAATATAAACAATAAGCAGCGTGACAGGAAGGCGGTGGGCGTGACGGTCTGGAGAGTCCCTCAGAGCATTAGCGGCTAATACTAGCGCCGCGAGGAGACCGAGAGTATAAATTTAGACCGTCTCCTGTGTGTCAGTGTGAAATCGAGCCACCGGGTGGGTGTTGATATTCACACCCGTCGCTTTCATTTCCATCTAGCCGAGGCGTCGAGAGAGAGGAGGCTACTTCTGTTCCGTCATTATGACACGAAACTAGTGGCCTAGTGGTTTGATTCGCCTCGCTTTCATCCATCAACACAGAGAGACTGAAGATACAAGACAAGAGAGTTTCCAGGTGCCAGATCCTTCCTGGCTAATTAGGAAAGGGTTTGCTCATTCTGTGGTTTGGCGCGGGCTGACGGCGGATGCTAGCTAGCGATAATGGCTAGCAGCGGTGGATATCGGTGTCATTTTGATGCAGCATTTTCCACTTTATTTGAGCAGGAAACAAACTGGTCAATGTGAAATCAACAGCACCACAATAATACAAAACAAATGTATTAAAATAAAAATTATGAACCATTTTTCAAAGATTGTGACAATTACATATTTAAATATTAATATTGATTTACATATAGAAAGTCAATAAATTGCATAAATCATTGATTTTGTTGTTGTTGCAATAATAATAATTTCATAAATTAAAACTGACAATAAATCATTGTTATTTGTATTACGTTAACAACAACAATTTAATAAATGACAGAAATTAATAAATCATTATTTGATTATTAAATTCTAAAAAATAATAAAACAATTAAAATAAGAAATAATTTACTTATTATTATTATTATTATTAATGACAACAACAATATAATAATGCTCAAATTATATAAATAAAATTACTTGCTTATGTAATAATAATAGCTTTAATTGTTATTGTTATTAATGAGAAGTTAATAAATAGATAAATTATATAAAAATCTAAATAAATTATTTTAATATTTTAATTACAACTGCTAAAATAAATTTGTATTATTATTATTATTATTATTATTATTAACAATAACCATTTATTTACTAATCATTTATATAATAATTTATAAATAATTTGTTTTAATTATTTTAATATTAATTAATATAAATAAACAACTAGAGTAACAAGCACACAGCAAGTAAAAATCACAAATTATGAACAATGAATTATAATATTTGATTAAATTATTTTAAGAAGAAGAAATTAAGTATTGACGGTTTGGTGATGCCTTAGTAACACATCAAGTACGTTCAATGGAAATGAACAGGTGAAATGAGGTCACGTCTACGTTCTTGCATAAAGAATGATTCAAACGTTGCATTCATATCCTTAAGTGAACTCAAATCAATAACCCACCATTCAGTTCCATCTCAATGGCGCTCCGCGTTTTAAAAACGCTATCCCGCATTAGCAAACATCACGACAAACAAAGCCATCACCGGTTCAGTCCTCATCCCTAGACACAAACGCTTCCCATCTAAAGTCTTCCAGACAAAATCAATAGCGGGAGACAGCAGGAGCGCAGGCTCTCTGCTCTCCTCCTTCCACACCTGAGTCATTAAAATCACTCCATGCTGCAATCAGCTAGCAAAGTCATCGCGGTACATCTGGCCGCCGCAGACGTTATCAGCGATGCAGCCACCCTCCTCCCCACATCCGCTGTTAATTGCACATTTGGTAGGCCTCCAAAACGGCCTGAGATGTTTGATAAAGTGACCCTTTATGATGAAATATGGCACAGCGGTTGTGGAACGCCCTCGCCGCACTGCAGACTATCAAAGCACGCTCGCGATTGAGCCTTTGAAGTAATTAACTGGAAAGAGGCAGGCCTGGAAATTAACAAGGGCTCAGGGAAAAAATATTATTTAAAAAAGTGGGGCCAAAAACATGCTGCAGGAATGAATTCCTCTGCTGTTTTCTTTGTTGTTTTTGGTTTTACTTAAGACATTTGAATTAGATTCTATTCTATGCCTAACTATACAAGAATGTCGACATCAAAGAGCCATTTCATTCCTTTATACAAATGTAATTATTAGTCCAGCATCAGAAACTAATTTACTAATAGACAGACACTGAGAGAGAGAGAGAGAGAGGCAGACAGACAGATGGATGGATAGACAGAGACAGACAAACAGAGAGAAGGACTGATGAACGGATGGACAAATACACGGACGGACGGACAGATAGATAGATGAACAGATAAAGAGATAGACAGACAGAGAGAGAAGGACGGACATATGGACAGATATATAGACATAGACAGACAGACAGACAGACAGACAGATAGATAGGGACGGACATATGGAGACAGACAGACAGACAGACAGACAGATAGATAGATAGATAGATAGATAGAGAGAAGGATGGACTGACAGAGAGATAGGCGTTTAGTCTGACAGACAGGTAGATACTTTTTTCAGACAGAAAAGCACATAGACCCACACTTTTTTGAGACAGACGGATCTTCTTTTCAGACAGACAGGCTAATCAAACCCTTCCTAGGTGTCAGTGTAGTGTGTACTAACAGCACGTGTTCCTGTGGCGTCTGTCTGAGCGTCTCTTTAACATGTGTTAGCGCTCAGCTCAGCGATGTTCTGTTACAAACACCCTGATGCTTGAGATGTGGACGGCGGCCGCTGTGAGATGACAGCGATGAGAGAGACGCAGACAGGTGGTGTGGCGTACCTGAGCACCCAACACCCAAACAGAGATAGATAGATAGATAGACAGATAGACAGACAGATAGACAGACAGACAGATAGATAGATAGATAGATAGATAGAGAAGGACGGACATATGGACAGACATATAGACATAGACAGACAGACAGATAGATAGGGACGGACATATGGAGCAAGACAGACAGACAGACAGACAGACAGACAGATAGACAGATAGATAGATAGATAGATAGACAGAGAGAGAAGGACGGACATATGGACAGATATATAGACACAGACAGACAGATTATATATATATATACATATCTCTTTAACATGTGTTAGCGCTCAGCTCAGCGATGTTCTGTTACAAACACCCTGATGCTTGAGATGTGGACGGCGGCCGCTGTGAGATGACAGCGATGAGAGAGACGCAGACAGGTGGTGTGGCGTACCTGAGCACCCAACACCCAAACAGATGGTGCTGTTCCTGCGCTTCCCTCTCCACGCTGAAGAGATAATCACAAAAGCGAGGACTACCGCTTCACACGCACAAGAACAAACCTCTGTAATAACAAGCCAAAAGACACACTCTAGAGAACGAGCTCGTTTATTTCAATCAGTTAATAAAGAAACAAAATATTTGCTTCATATTTGTATGATAATGAGGTTGTTCAGTGATGCATGTTTCTGTATTTTTTTCTTTTCTTTTTTTTTAAATAAACATTTTCATTAAGAAATTTTCAGTTTCCTAGTGAAGAACAGCATTACCCACAATCCTGAAGACAGATCCACCAATCAGAGTCGCTCAAGTGACAGGCCACTCCCATGATGCACTGCAACTGTCAAGACAGATACTTTTTCAGACAGACAGGTATTTTTTAGACGGTAGGACAGGCAGATTTCCAGATGGACAGACAGATAAACATAGTTTCTGAAGATGGACAGATGAATTTTTCCCCCATTTTTTTAGACAAATGGATAGACTGACAGACAAGGAGACAGATACTTATTCAGATGGTCAGACAGAGAAAAAGACAGAAATACTTGTTTAGACAGACAGACACCTTTCAGAGACAGACACTTTTTCAGACAGACAGACAGACAGATACTTTTTTCAGACAGTTGAACAAACAGGTACTTTCTACAGTTTTTCAGATGGACACTTTTTTTTCAGAGAGACATTTTTTAGACAGTTTTTTTTTTTAGATGGACAGAGAGACAGACACTTATTCAGATAGACACACTTTTTCAGATTGACAGAGAGGCAAATGGACAGATACTTTTTTGGACAGAGACAGACAGACAGATACATTTTTCAGACAGATGGAGAGACGGACAGAGACATTTTTTTCAGACAGAGACTTTTCCAGATGGACATATTTTTTATTTTTAGACAGATGAAAAGACAGACATACTTTTTTAGACAGAGAGACACTTTAGATAGAGACAGATGGACAGACAGATACTTTTTTCAGATAGTCAGACAGACAGACTTATTTTTAGACAGAGAGACATACTTTTTTTAGACAGAAGGAGAGACTTAGACAGTTTTTCAGACAGAAGCTTTTTTCAGATGGACAGAGAGACAGACAGACAGACAGATACTTATTCAGATAGACATACTTTTTCAGATTGACAGAGGCAAATGGACAGATACTTTTTTGGACAGAGACAGACAGACAGATACATTTTTCAGACAGATGGAGAGACGGACAGAGACATTTTTTTCAGACAGAGACTTTTCCAGATGGACATATTTTTTATTTTTAGACAGATGAAAAGACAGACATACTTTTTTAGACAGAGAGACACTTTAGATAGAGACAGATGGACAGACAGATACTTTTTTCAGATAGTCAGACAGACAGACTTATTTTTAGACAGAGAGACATACTTTTTTTAGACAGAAGGAGAGACTTAGACAGTTTTTCAGACAGAAGCTTTTTTCAGATGGACAGAGAGACAGACAGACAGACAGATACTTATTCAGATAGACATACTTTTTCAGATTGACAGAGGCAAATGGACAGATACTTTTTTGGACAGAGACAGACAGACAGATACATTTTTCAGACAGATGGAGAGACGGACAGAGACATTTTTTTCAGACAGAGACTTTTCCAGATGGACATATTTTTTATTTTTAGACAGATGAAAAGACAGACATACTTTTTTAGACAGAGAGACACTTTAGATAGAGACAGATGGACAGACAGATACTTTTTTCAGACAGATGAAGAGACAGACACATTTTTTTCAGATAGTCAGACAGACAGACTTATTTTTAGACAGACAGATACTTTTTTAGACAGAGAGACAGATGGACAGACAGATACTTTGACAGACAGATGGAGAAACACAAAGGGACAGATACTTTTTTTAGACAGAAGGAGAGACTTAAAGACCGTATTTCAGACAGATGCTTTTTCAGATGGACAGAGAGACAGACAGACAGATACTTATTCAGATAGACATACTTTTTCAGATTGACAGAGGCAAATGGACAGATACTTTTTTGGACAGAGACAGACAGACAGATACATTTTTCAGACAGATGGAGAGACGGACAGAGACATTTTTTTCAGACAGAGACTTTTCCAGATGGACATATTTTTTATTTTTAGACAGATGAAAAGACAGACTTATTTTTAGACAAACAGAGACAGATACTTTTTTAGACAGAGAGACAGATGGACAGACAGATACTTTTTCAGACAGATGGAGAGACAGACAGACGGAGAAACACAAATGGACAGATACTTTTTTTAGACAGAAAGAGAAACTTAAAGACAGTTTTTCAGACAGACGCTTTTTTCAGATGGACAGACAGATACTTATTTTTATACAGACGTAGAGACAGACAGACAGGCGCTTATTCAGACAGATAGACTTTTTCAGATGGACCGAGAGGCAAATGGACAGACATATACTTTTTTTTGGACAGAGACAGATACTTTTTTCAGACAGACAGACAGAGAGAGATACTTTTTAGACAGATGGTCGAGACAGACAGACAGACAGATACTTTTTTTCCGATGGACAGACATACTTATTTTAAAAAGTTTGACAGAGAGACAGACGGAGAGACAGATAAATATAAAAAAAAAAATTTAATATTTTTTTTTCAGAGAGACACTTTGCTTTTAGAGAGACAGATAGACAAACAACATTTTCAGACAGAGAAAGACAATTTTTTGACAGAGACTTTTTTTTAGATAGACAGACAGATGGACAAACGGATACTTTTTTCAGACAGACAGAGAGACTGAAAGACAGACACTTTTTTAGACAGACACTTTTCAGATGGACAGACAGATACTTATTCAGACAGACTTTTTTCAGATGGACTGAGAGGCAAATGGACAGATATATACTTTTTTTGGACAGAGACGGACAGTCAGACAGATATTTTTTCAGACAGATGGCAAGGCAGATACTTTTTTTAGACAGACAGCCTCTTTTTCAGACAGACAGATACTTATATTTAGACAGACGGATGGACAGACATATTTTTATGGCTCGACAGACAAAAAAAACAACTTGAATTCGAAACATCTGCTGAATTGAACACTTCCTGTAGCTGCTCTTTTTCTACACTCAAGTCAACATGAAATCAAAATGGACCTTTTTATTTTGTTTAACACAAAATGTAATCAAAAGAAACATTTTGTGCTTTTCGGTTGACGTCACCAATCCCTTTTATCGCGTCCATCCTGGTACAAAACGCCCACGTTTCACCACGTGATCAATTACCGACAGAACAAAAGTCCAACTTTTTTTTTTGGTCAAATTAAATATCCTGATTCATATGGAAATAATCCGGGTTGCGGACGGCATTTGACGCTGACAGTCAGGGTGCGAACTACGGGGGAGCTTGGCTCCCCTTAATAAGAGATGGGCTCCCCTGAAAACGTGATTTGTGAAATTATGGGGGGTCTCAAAAAATACTGACAATGTGTTATTTTGACGTGCAATTTCAGTTTTGTGTAATGTGATCATCGTGGATTATTATGTGTAAAATTGCAAAAATATCATTCATTCATGCATGACGGCGATTTAAACCTAATTCACTTCAATAAAGATAACTATACATGCTATTCCTGTCATGAGCATCAAGGTGTGGGGGCACTGCGGTGCAAATTCCACTCATGTTTAGTACATGTTAACTCAAAGATCCGTAGAAAAAATATAAACGCTGGACTCTGTGGTCGATTCTGTGTTAAGGTAAGGCATGTTATTCGCAATTATGTGTTGTGGCTGGGTTGTTATAGGTCTGCGTGACTCTCGATGTCTTAGGCCTAATTGAATGGAGGAATTATGGTATTCTTCTGTAGTCTGATGACGAGTAACTTTAACCGTTGTCCATGTGAACTCAAAGACAGCCTGATGCTTTGTTTATAGACTATTTGTGGGTGGCTGTTTGTCGTTTCACCTATCAATTCGTGTCGATAAAGTATAATAGGGTAAATCCTGTATAGTGATTTATCCTATATAGTGCTTGCATAAAGCAAGTAGTGCATACACTTGTAGCTGTTATATATCTTTGTAAGTCATTGTAAGCCCTCTTTTGAGGCACGCGCAAGCGTACGAACACCCAAACCCCCCCGTTATAAAAAAAAAAAACAAGTGGGCTCCCCCAAACGGTATAGTTCGAACACTGCTGACAGTGATTTTCAGACTGTCAGTTAGCAAAAAACATCGGTAATGAACTTGGAATTCTATCTTTGGCATGAAATGGGATCGGGGCCGGAAATATGAGCACAGGCTTTAATCTTCCCGTCCTCTGATGGATGTGAGCTCGCAAGTGAATAAAGCCGCCAACAGACAGAGATGGGAGAAGCGCTTAGTCAGATATTGGGTGTTAGATGTTTCCAGAAGCCTGTTTGCGGCGATGAGCCGGGGAAATGTTTGCCGGCCTCAGCTTTTCTTCCAGCGGTGTAACAACTGAGGAGGAACAACCGCCGAGAACAAAAAAACCACAGGAGGCATTACTGAAGCGCAACAGAGCCGCCTTTGACGAGATGGGATTTCTTATTGCTTCGGCCGACTTCTGGAGATACTTCGGCAGGCAAACAATAAACTGACAGTCTTTTTGGGATAGTTTAAGCTCACTGTAGCAGACCGCTGAGTTCATAAGAATGACTGGAGTTGGTCAGCGCTAATACTTTACTGACTTCCTGTTCTTCCTGGCCTTTAGGTGAATAATAGTTTTATCTGAACGTTTAGCTTAACTTATTTCTGACTTTAGAATTTTATTGTATTGGAAAAAAAAATGC